AGACATTTATACGTACATACAAACAAACAAATAAACAAACAACACCATCAATTTTTGAATGAAACTTCTTTTTCGGTGAAATTTTTCTTAATTTCTCGTCGTGTTTTAGATAAAATTCTTGACATTTATCTCACGCACGCACACGCACACACACACACACACAACGCATACATACGTATATATAATTATATTACAGATAAAAATAAATAATATATATTAATATATATATATATATAATATATGTATTAATTTGCACAGTTTAAAAATTCATTTAATGTATATATAACGCTTAAATAAATTAGACAAAAATTAAAACTAGGAATTTGGTAAGTTAAATGTGCAATACACACACACGCAATGTATGTTTGTATGTATGTGTGCATGTGTATGTGTTTGTATGTGTGTGTTTGTATGTATGTTTGTATATTTGTAGCTATATATATATTTGAGCTATGTATATTTATGTTTGCTATCATGTTTTTACATTAGAATCAAATCCAAATTTTGATGAAATTTCTTCTTGCTTTAAATCGTCACATCTGATCACAGACTTAAATGCTTGCGCTAATAATTTAATATAAGGATAATAATAATACAGGTTAGTAAAATAATAATAATAATGACAATGATAATAATAATGATAATTTTCAAATGTTCAATGTGGTCTTGTAGAGGATTGTGACACGAGAAACGCTATCTTCATGCTACGAGTGATGATCAGCGAACGAGCGATTGAAATGAGGATGACTTGTTGATGTGCTCCGTTGGTTACTCCGAAGCTTTTGATCGCGCGAAAGCACGTGGAATTGTTGGAAATTTTGGACATTGCTGGAAAAGATACGAGAGTTATCAGAAACCTCATTTGGAGACGAAAGAGCAGCCATGGAAGTTGTTAGTATGAACTTCTTTGATCCCAATAAAGTTTATTAACGAGATGACTAGTTTTGTCGAAATGAAGAAAGATGTTAGGCGAGGCTGTGTAGTGTACTCTCTCCAGACCTGTACAACCTCTACAGTGAAATCATTGTGAGAAAGATGGAAGATCTACCTGGAATATCCATTGGAGGCGTGAGTATTAACAATGTAAGATATGCTGATGATACTTCGAAAGAGGATGTATTAAAAGAGTCCGGTTATGAAAAGAGGAAATTACTGCAGATAACCGACGGGGGCAGTTAAAGTTTTTTGGTCACATCATGCGGAAGGAAAGAATGGAAAATCTAACAACTACTGGAAAGATTGCAGGGGAAAGAGATCGCGGCGAACAACGGGTAACACTCGTGAAGTCCTTGTGTCACTGGTTGAATATCACCGCATTTCAACTACTACATAGTGTTGAAGATCGGATTTTGTGGGGGTCGATGGTCGCCAATGTCCTGAGAGGATAAGGCACGAGAATGAAGAAGAAGAGTGATAATAATGATAATAATAAAAATAATAACATTAATAATAAAATTTTTTTTTATTATTTTCACTTGTTTATTTATTTAAAATGGAAAAAGTCATTTCATTTCCTACAATTTCATCTAATAATAGATTTGTTAATAATAATTATTATTTTTATTATTATTAACATTATAATTTATTGTTATTAATATTATTCATTTAAATACTGTTATTATTATCAGCACAATTTTATTGTAATTACTTTTCACACTCTCACTCCTCTCTCTCTCTCTCTCTCTCTCTTTCTATATATATATATATATATATATATATATATATATATTTAGATATATACATAATATGTATATATAACCTTTTAACATGATAGAATTAAGGTTGTTATATTCAACATTATTTATATTAAATTAAATGTCCATAATTTCGTTATCGTTATGATGATGATGATACTGGAATTATTTTATTTTTAAAGTTTGGTCTAAAAGATTTTATCATATATATTATGATATGTATATATATATAACTTATGTGTAGGCATAAATTTATATATATATTTGCACTAAATTTCTTTGAAAGTATCAGTTTTTTGTCTATGTTCTTTTCGTTGTTTTGTACTTTGTGAACGATAAATGAAGACGCTGATTTTGTTTTGATTTTTTTTTTAATTTAAATAAAATTGTTCATTCAATTAGTGAAATAATAAATAAATAAATATTTGAATAATTAATAATGATTATTGTGAATAAATTATGTCTACCGAGTTCGTTTTTTAGGGTCAATCACTTACGATTCGTTCGTGGCAGCCGGTTCAAACGTGAAGTTAGTAAACAAAACGAAAGTGACAAATCGATGGCCGAGAGATCATCATCATCTCCGCCTAGTAATGAAAAAGATAACCAAACTAAAATCCAACTCATAAATAAACTAAAAGAATTAAACATCAAACCGGACGTGTTATCCGCACTGGGGGGCCCGATCGAACCTTTAAAAAATTTTGATCTAGTTCCTGATTTTCCCTCTGATGTGTTGTCCTATCGACGTAGATTAAAACAGCAGGAGTTAGAGAAGAAGCAGAGAAATCAGGCCAATAAAGCTTTCAGACCCAAGGTTGATTCGAGTTTGACCACTGTCATGTTATTCCCGGGTCAGGGGAGTCAGTTTGTAGGGATGGGCAAACTCCTTCTCGAGTACCCCAACGTCAGGGATATATACAAACTTGCCAGCAAAATCTTAGGCAGAGTTTGTTTTTATTTACAAATAAAAAGCGATAAATAAATTCATTACATTAATTTAATTCATATCTTTATATTAAATTAAAGTTTTTTGAAAATAAACCTGATAAAAATAAACAAATGTATGAAAATATATATATCATTGATTGATTAAATTTATTTCATCCATCATGCAATCCAGGTTATGACTTGATAGAAGTTTGCCTAAAAGGTCCAAAATCCTTGTTAGACAAGACCTTATACTGTCAGCCTGCTGTCGTTGTGACATCTCTGGCCGCCATTGAAAAGTTGAAATACGATAATCCTAAGGTTTTGTGTCTCTATGTCTGTATACTTGTGTCTGTATATATATATATATGCATATATAGATGTTTATGATCGTTTGTGTATGTGTGTGTTTAGTTTAATCAATTAAATTTTTTTAAATAATTGAGAAATACTTAAATAAATATATGTCTTACTCAACGTCCTACCTCGGGGAACCGGGACTCTGGACGCAAAACAAAGATTGATTGATGTCTTACTCAAAATTTTCATTAAATCGAATTTAAATAAATAAATTAAGATTGAAATAAATTATCAATTTGAAAATTTCTGGAAGGCCATAGAAAGTTGTATAACCACGGCCGGCTATAGTGTTGGTGAGATTAGCGCTCTGGTCTTCGCTGGCTCATTGAGTATCGAAGATGGTAAATAATTTTTCATTTTTTTTATTTATTTAATTTTATATTGTTGATAATTATTATTATATATAATACTTAAATTCACTTTTAATCACTTGCAGCCATATACTTAGTCAAATATCGATCAGAGGCCATGCAGAAGGTGTCTGAGGGTACCCCGGGGTCCATGATGGTCGTATTTATATCGCCATCAACTAAACTCAACTTCGCATGCCACGCTTCCAAACTCTACTGCAAGCAAGAACTCAAGATGGAGGAGGTAGTTTGTGAGATTTCCAACTACCTCCATCCAGGCTGTAAGGTCGTGGCTGGAAATTCCCAGGTCTTTGGGGTTTATTTTTCTATGTTTTTTTTGTTTTGTTTTTCATTTTAAAGTTGATGTTTTTATTGTAGAAATGCTTTTCTTAAATTTTATTATTAATATGAGTAATTTTTAAAATTTTATGTTTTAATTTCAATTTTCAACAAAAGCTTAAATTCATCATATTGCTTATTTTCCCTAACTGTCATTCCACAATTGCAGGCCTTGAAATTTATAGAGAAGAATGCCAAGGAGTTTGAAATTCGAAGAACGTCTTACCTGCCTGTAAGCGGTGCTTTCCATTCCAAACTAATGCAGCCTGTCGTTGAGATGTTAAAATCAAAAATTTCCTCTCTAAAAATTAACGACCCCGTCGTACCAGTGCACTCTAACGTCACAGGAGCCAGGTTCAAAAACGCAGACGATATCAGGAAATTAATTCTAAAACAAATCTGTATGCCTGTGAAGTGGGAGCAGACTCTGCATTCGATCTACGCTCGACCACAGGGAAAAAATTTCCCCAGAACTTTTGAAGTGGGCCCTGGAAAACAGATGGGGGCCTTGCTAAAGATGGTCAATGCCAAGGCGTTTGAGGAGTACCAGAATGTTGATGTCTGATTGGTTGGCTGATTGACTGTTTGATTGAATGGATGATTGTTTGATTGTTTGATTGTTTGATTGATTGATTGATTGATTGATTGATTGATTGATTGATTGATTGATTGATTGATTGATTGATTGATTGATTGATTGATTTGATTGGTATGTTGCTTGATTAAAACTTTATTCTATTAAAAATTTGTTCATTTATAAAGGAGAATACAAATGTCAATAGATGGGGCTTTCTTATAAATGAAAAATTTTGAAAAATTCGTTTTGAAAAACTTTATTTTGTTATTTACAACCTGTAACTTTTACTTCGATCGTTTCTTTATAAGCATGAAATTAAGCGCTTCATAAATGCGTTTGCGTTGTCTTACGGTGCAATGTTCTACGTGTGTGCAATGTTCATCTAACTACAGGTATGCATGCAGTGATTGCTACGTTGTGCAATAAATAAAAATTACGAGATTTTCAAATGGCTTCGTACGTTCAACAAATGTTCCACTGGCTCCTAGTGACAAAGTCCTTTCAAGCAGAGGTATCTCGAAACGAATCAACCGAATTCACTTTCGTTGTCGACGGTTCTTAGTTTCATGTGGAATAGTTTTCTGAGAGCTATCTCGAACTTGCTGTTTCCTAGGGCGTAGAGGACGGGATTGAATGCCGAGTTGAGGTGAGTCAACAAGATGGCGATGTTGAGGAGCGTGAAGTTAGTGTAGTTGTTGAAAACGGATATGCAGTTGATCGTGTGCATTGGCAGCCAGCTCAGTATGAAGCAGAAGAGGACCACGGCAAACCACTTGGCCGCTTTAATATCCTTCGCCCATGTACTGCTGCTTTGCCTCTTGTGTTCCTTTTTGGACGGCAGGATCTTTGATAGTTTTTTGTACCTCTTCACCACGTCTGACATTTCAATTTTTTTGTCCGCGCCATTTTCAGAAGTCTGCGCTATATCAAGCGATTCCATGGCACTTCTTCCATTCTCCACGAAGCTAACCTTCTTATTTTTTTGGCTTTGCGAGATGATGTTCATTTCCGCACTACCATTTTCAACTCTGACGTCAAACATGGCTTCTGCTGCTTCGTGGTTGTCATGTGTGGCTGTGGTGGCGGCTGTTGGTGATTGTGGTGGCTCAGTTTCTGATTCTACCTCTTGCGGCTGCCGCTGTTGAAGTTTCGTCGCATCCAAAGTGACACCATCGTCGGGTGCCGGACTCTCTGCTGTTAATTCGTCGTTGTAAGCTGTTGGTAGGAAAAAATTCTGTGAAATTTATTCAAGTTTAGTAGAACATCTTTTTAAAATAGGATTTTAAACTATTCACATTCACACGATTTAATGGAATAAACTGGCAAATAATTTTACAATTTCAAACCAGAGCGACATCCAACGAGCTGTTAAAAATAATTAAAAATTGTTACACTGCACGTTTCAAAACAGTACTAAAACACCATTATTATCGTGCACTGATCCATCTTTTGACACGGCAGACTGTTTCCTATCTTTCATCACGTCCGCCACACCGTTCTTAGCCGATTTTGAAGTCGTTGTGGCATCGGCAGTTGTAGTAGAAGTGGCTCTACGTCTGCCATACTGCATTTGCGACTCGGCTATCGATCTCATCTGCTTCAGAACGACGCTGAAGATGTAGCAGTAGAGGATTATCATTATGATGAGAGGCGTTAAGACACAGCCGAAGAAGTTGAAGTGGACCATGTAACGCATATCGATGACAATGCGGAATTCGCAAGCCTTTACGAAGTTCACCTGGTTCTCTGGTCGGGGAGGTTGAATTTATTGGATGATGGCTGCGCGTTTTGGCTTTTCTTATTTTTTGGGATTGGATGTTGGTTGTTTTATCATATTGTAACTTTTAGGAATGATTTGTATTTTTAATATTGATTTAGGATGGGTTAAGAGTTAGTTTGTTATTTAATTTTTAAAAAGAGAGAGAGAGAGAGACAGAGAAGACACACATACACTACTAACTAAGATTCCAAGCAAAAGACGGCATTAGTGTAACAACTACAGACAGCACCCAAGTTATTATTATCAGTATGACGGCTCGCTTCGGCGTGCAGATCCGGTTGTATTCGAATGGATATCTTATGGCGCAAAATCTGTGTGAAAGTGTGTGTGATTGTGCGTGCGTGCATGCGTGTGTATATATGCATGTGTGTGTGTGTGTGTTTGTGTGTGTGTGTGGCGTGGTTGAAACATCGTCTTTCGGTATAAATACCATAAATATCTGAATGAAAAGATGATTGTGAGGAAGATGAACAAGGAATTATGACATTAAAATGATAATGACGATGATGACATTATAATAACAAATAATAATAATATTTATAAATACATATCTCGTCAGCATTTATCTAGAAGGCTTATAAGCAAACATTACATATGTGCATGTGAACCACTTTTTGGATTCTCATAAAATCGACTTGAAAATTGATAAACGTCTGCTCTGCTTATTTGAACAGCGTGTTTGCATACACCGCTTGTACGCCGCAACTCATACCGAATAATCGGAAGAATCGACCCGGTCTCTCTCCCGGTAAAAATATTGCTGCATCTCTCATTTTACATGTCATTTTAATGTTACCGTAATGTAATTGTAAACTTTTTTAGTGTAATTTTAGTAAAATTCTTAAAATTCTCCTTTCCGAGTCTTTCAATTTCGGCTCTCGGTTTTCTTCTACCTCTCAATTCTCTTACTTTTTATTTACCTTTTTATTTACACTCATTTTTAAAATATTTCTATCGTTCCTTCTCTCTCTCTCTCTTTTTCTTTTTAAAACTGAGCATAATCATTTCTTTGTGAAATTAACTAATAAAAAAAAACTCAAACAAACGAATGAAAGAATGATGAACGAACGAACGAATGAATGAATGAATAAGCGATATAATCAGGCGGTGGTTAGTGGTATATCATGCTTCGCGTTATTCAGTCAGAAATTGAAATATGGTACGGTATGTCTAAATGAGAATCAAAATAGCAAAAAGTGAAAGATAGATACTACTACTACTACCACTACTACAACAACTACTACTACTACTACCACCACTACTACAACTACTGAACTACCACTACTATTACTTACTACTATTACTTACTACTACTACTACTACTACTACTACTACTACTACTACTACTACTACTACTACTACTACTACTACTACTACTACTAATAATAATAATAATAATAATAATAATAATAATAATAATAATAAAATAATAATAATAATAAGAATAATAATAAACAACCTATCAACTGCAATAACCAGCAGGCTGAAGATGGAGATCTGCGTCAGGATGACAATCATGGTATTCAGGGTCAGACAGCCTTGTAATAATAATAATAATTATAATAATTTTATTATTATTATTATAACTCTAATAATTGACAATGGAAAGAAGGTAAAGAAGAAGAAAATTAACAACATCAATAACAACAATACTACTACCATTACAACTAATTAAATAAGAAATATTATACATATTGTTAATTATTATTATTATATAGTTATAATTATTATTATTATTATTTGTAGTAGTAGTAGTAGTAGTAGTAGTAGTAGTAGTAGTAGTAGTAGTAGTAGTAGTAGTGATGTTATTATTCTCTTTATTATGATTATTATTATTAAATACCTGAAAAGTTCTCAGGGAGCTGGTACATAGTCGTCAACACGCACGGTATTCCTGATGATGATGACGACGACGATGATGATGATGGTAGTGGTGGTGATGATGGGTGGTGGTGATAATGGTGGTGGCGATGATGATGATGATGATGATGACGATGGTGAAGTTAAATGATCTTTGTATTGCAATCACCAAGACAATTTATCTCACTTCGGTTTAGCAAATTCGTCTTCCACATAACCACCATCATCACCATCATCATCATCACAATCATCATAACCACGATCATCATTATCATTATCGGAATCTTTGACTTTATCATCATCATTATCATCATTATCATCATTATCATCATCATCATCATCTTCGTCATCAATGTTTTATCACTCTATCATCATTTTGACATCAACATCATTACTATCATCATCATCATCATTATCATCATCATCATCATCACTATCACAACCACCATCACCACCATCATCACAACCATCATCACCACCATCATCACAACTATCCCAACCATCATCATCACCATCATCATCACCATCATACCTACCCAACATAATCTGGAGTGACGTGTAAACAACATCAAACAATTAAGATTCAATCAACAGCTAAAAGCAGGGAAAACATAACGGACCAGAATAATAAAAACAATAATAATAAACAAATAATACTAAAAATAATAAATAATAATAATAATAATTGTAGTAAATAATAATTATAATCATAATAATAAAATAGGTTGAAATAGATTTAAAATCAAAAAATTTATAAGAAGAGTAGAGAAGAATTAAGTAAGTAATTTTTTTCCCCCTGACTGATGACACGACCAGTCAGTTTTAGGCTGAATAAATTTTAATTATTGATAATACCTCTCTCTTCATGCAGTTGTAGTAGTGGTAGTTACTACCGCTACTACTACTAAGTTGTAGTAGTGGTAGTCTTCATGCAGTTGTAGTAGTGATAGTTACTACTACAGCTACTACTAGTAGTAGCGGTAGTAACCGCGGTAGCCGAGGCAGTAGCGATACAAGCGATGTAAGTAGTAGTAGTAGTAGTGGTAGTAGCTACAGCTACTACTAGTAGTAGCGGTAGTAACCGCGGTAGCCGAGGCAGTAGCGATACAAGCGATGTAAGTAGTAGTAGTAGTAGTGGTAGTGGTAGTAGTAGTAGCAAAAAGTAGTAGTAGTAATAGTAGAAGTGGTAGTAGTAGTAGTAGTAGTAGTAGTAGTAGTAGTAGTAGTAGTAGTAGTAGTTGTAGTAGCAGTAGTAGTAACACGTTACCTATACCTACACCATAAATCATTTAATAAGCTTAAGTCATCCGTTTAATTAATTGATACAATGAACAATTAACCATGATTAATTAATTTCTAATGGTTCAGTATTGATGTTAATTAAAACTAGGAGAGAAAAATTTGATTGATTGATTGATTGATTGATTGATTGATTGATTGATTGATTGAAAAACGAAGTGACACACACAGCCACACCGACACACACATAACCATACCGACACAAACTACCATACATACCGACACACACACACAAATAACCATACATATCGACACACACAAACATAAAAACCGACACACACAAACATAAATACCGACACACACAAGCAACCAAACCGACACACACAACCATACCGACACGCACAACCATGCCGACACACACACAACCATACCGACACACACAACCATACCGACTAACCGATTAAACCGACAAAGAGATCGGCAGTCGATAGGGATGCTACGAAGTAATTGGTTACGGTTTGCAGGGATGGGTAAGTAGCGATGGCGAGTAGAACGAGTCCATTCGTAAGAATCGTTATTATCGCGATTATAACCTCGCCCGACACTTGTACGTAATCTATGTAGACTGAGGTAAGTGAGATTGTAATTAAAGTAGCAATAGTAATATCAATAGCTACTGGAGACTCTTTCATTTCAGCCAAAATCGTTAAAATTAAAGAAAAAGTTAATTAAAAATGTAATAATGTTCCGTAAGAACTACAATGCTCATTGTTTAAGACAGGTGCAGAACGGTGATGCATTCAAATTGGTTATGGAGTGTGTCCCTTCTTAATTACAAGGTCTATTAATTTGTTAATAAATGGAATGGGCCATTAATTTTTAATTAATTTGCGTCAAATTCAAGATACTAAAAAAAAGACCACTCGGAGTTATTTCAAATGTTTTTTTTTAAATTAAACAGTTCTTAAAGTCGGTTAGCGTTCCATTATGGATTCGAACTATTTACGTATTCCGATGGTTTCTTTAATAATAATAATAAAAATAACAACAATAACAATTATAATTACTAACATTCTTTCACAGGTTCTGTCGTTATGTTATAAAACGAAGTAACATTGTAATTAAAAGTATTATTATTACTGTTATTATTATAACTATAATTATTACTATTATAACTATAATTATTATTATAACTATAATTATTATTATTATAACTATAATTATTATTATTATTAGTAGTAGTAGTGGTGGTAGGAGTTGTAGAAGTACTAGAAATGCTAATTATAATGTTAGCGATCACAACGAGTGCAGTGCTCATGATGGCTTTGGATTGGATTGGATTGAAGGCCTCTGTATTTTTTTTATTATTATTATTATTAATTAATACTATTATTATTATTAGTAGTAGTAGTGGTGGTGGTGGTGGTAGTGGTGGCAGTAGTAGTAGTAGTAGTAGTAGTAGCAGTGGCAGTAGTTGTAGTAATAAAATTAAACATTAGTTGTAGTTTTAGTAAAAGAAGTTTCTGATAGCACTAGAAATAATGATAAAAATAGTTGCCTTAATAGTAGTTGTAGTAGTAGTAGTAGTAGTAGTAGTAGTAGTAGTGGTAGTAGTAGTAGTAGTAGTAGTGGCAGCAGCAGCAGTAGTAGTAGCTGCTAATGCTATCTCTGGAGTGACTTTGAAGTGTAATATAAACAATGCTCGCCTTGGAATAATATACGACAGTTGAAGTAGTAGTTGGAGCAGCAGTAGTAATTGTAGTAATGGTAGTTGTGGCTCTAGTTGGAGCTGCAGTAGTAATTGTAGTTGTGTCTATAGCAGCAGCAGAGGCAGCTGCAATAGCAGCTGAATTATCGAAACTTAGTTGAATGAACAAATAACTAATTAATCACATAAATACGTTCTTTACTGTGTAACAAAGTAAAAATGAATGAACATAAATCCAAAAAGGCCTTATTATAGTAAACTATTTTCTCTCTTTCTCTCTCATTCTCTCTCTCATACATACATACATACTTACATACATTCATACATAAATGCATACATACATTACATACACACATACATACATGCACGCATGCATGCATGCATACATTCATATCTATCTATGCATCCTTTGTTTTGTCTCTAACATTATAGCCTGTATATTGTCAAAGTTTTTAAAGCTAATTACATCCAATGGATTGTAATGGAATTGTTTGTTTGTGTTGTGTGTTTGTACGTGTGTGTGTGTGTGTGTGATTGTGTGTTTATGTGTTCAAGGTCTGTATGTGTGTGTGTGTGCGCGCGTGTGTGTATGTGTGTATGTGTGTGTGTGTGTTTACGCCTTTCAAGTTAGATATATTAGAATGGTTTGTGTGCGTGTGTGTAGCATGTTTTTTAATATTGCAACCTCTCATTGCTTGTTTTTCTATCAAAATTTGAAATTAGCAGTCAGACACATCAAATGAACGTTTTTATTATTAGATATACCCATCGTTGCTTAACTTGTCAAGTTGATCGCGGCCAGTAGTTTGGATGGGTGACCCTAAAATTGTGATTTATCATTAATTCTACAGAGGACAGTAGGAATAGATGATTGCCGGCAAATTTATACAAAATTAGCAAGTGAATTTATGGCCATAATAAACCATCAACTTTGATGTCGAAGCCCTCAAAGGGTTCATCTCGTCTTTTTCAGCTTTTTCTGGTTAAACTTTTTTTTGTCAAAAAAAGACAACCCGATTCCGAACAGTAGTAGTTTTCGAGATGTCAACCTTCAGAGTTTTCAAATGCTGGTTCACACTTGCCGACTTGTTTTCACGATATGTTTTTCAAAGTTACAACAAATTCTTCGAGGTGTTGCCGATCCACGTTGGATATTCTAGGATATATCATGATAATTATTTTGAATGCGGGAGATAGTGAGAAAAAGAGACAAAAATAAAAAAGAAAGAAAAAAAAACTGAAAGAAAGAATATATAAAAACGAAAGTAAGGAGCAGAAAGAGAGAAAGAGAGAGCAGAAATAAAAAAGAAAGAAAAAAAAAACTGAAAGAAAGAATATATAAAAACGAAAGTAAGGAGCAGAAAGAGAGAGAGAAAAAGACATTTGAGATAGATAGCATAAAAGAAGACAAAATAATGAGAAAAAAGTGGAGGTTATTAGAAAAAAAGAGAAATAGAGAGAAAGAGAGAGAGAGAAAGAGAACAAGACAGAAAGAGATAGATAGATAGATAGATAGAGAGAGAGAGAGAAAGAGAGAGAGAAAGAGAGAGAGAGAGAGAGAGAGAGAGAGAGAGAAAGTAAACGTAGCCTTCATTCATGTCTGACAGTCAGTCAAGTCAATTGTTCTGTAGTGCAGATATCTTTCCTCTGTTAAAAAGACATCAAACCGCAATCCGCTCTTGTCACTGGCTTATTATTATTATTATCATTATTGTTATAATTCTTCTTTTTCTTTTTCTTATATATATATATATATATCATATAGATGACAATAGTTTGTGAATGAATGAATGAAATGCAGTAGCTGTAGGTATGCAAATGAATAAGGTTTGTAAAATAATTCAAATATTTCAAGAAAGATATATATATATACATGTTGGTAATTCTATTATAGAATATTGTAAATATATATATATATATATATATATATATATATATTTACAATATTCTATAAATTCTACCGAATGTTTGGCGTTAATATGTTTGTAGTTCGTTTTTTCGATTTTTCTCACTAAAGTTTTTTGGTGAACGTTTAGTTTATTAAAATTCAAAATAAACTTATTTTTCGAATTCATGCTGCAAATAAGGCCATATTTCGATTCCGAATGAATCATCATCAGTGCTCCTTGCTGTATATATAGGGAAATATTGACTTGT